TCTCTCTCTCTCTCTCCTTCACACAACACCTACCGATCGGGTGGCAAACGGGTCGTTGAGTCCAAGTGGTCAGTCGTGTCAGTCGTGGCAATGATAGCAATGGTGTGTTTGATAGCATGTATTGAATGCATTGTGTGTGAATGTATTCAATACATGCTTTCAAACACAATCGACAATCGATGTATCGGAGAGGGGGGAAGGCATAGCACTCTACACGTATTTGTCCCCCAATTTACATTTCCTTTAGTTATATTGATTACAATTATTGTATGTAAATAAACACTAATTAAATTGGCGTCAAATGCAATGCAATTCATTGTAAAAGTATTTGAGAGTCCAATTGTAATACGAGAATGACTTTAAAGTTTAATCTGTGTTCTGTTTTGCATATGGTTTGCAAATTGCAAAGCATATCATAAATAATCACTATTTTCAAAGAATTAAAGCTTTAAAATAGATATGCAACTTATTTTCCCTGTTAGAGGGATTCCCCGGGGATTCCCTGTTCCCTGTACAGGGAAAATACAGGGCAGGGAAATGAGAATCAATGAACAGGGCAGGGACAGGGAATCCCTGTAACCCTTAGAGGGAATCCCTGTAACAAAATTTCCCTNCTGTACAGGGAAAATACAGGGCAGGGAAATGAGAATCAATGAACAGGGCAGGGACAGGGAATCCCTGTAACCCTTAGAGGGAATCCCTGTAACAAAATTTCCCTGTAAATTCCCTGTAATACAGAAAGTGAGTGATAAATTAGTCAATTGTGAATGAATTTTGTGTTATAAAGAGATTGTAATACAATTATATTACTATAATATATATGTATTTTAAGTCTATTTATTGAAAAAATGAAATATAATGAATAAATACAAGTTTTTGTAAGGAATATTCATTAAAAAAAATTTACAGGGAAATTACAGGGAATCCCCGGGGTTCCCTGTTAGCCTCTACAGGGCAGGGCAGGGATTCCCTCTAAGCAAAAATTACAGGGAACAGGGCAGGGCAGGGAAATGAAATTGGAAAAAGTTGCATGTCTAATGCCTATCGCTAGATGTCTCTACAGTTTTGAATACTATAAGTATAAAAGGTTAGAGTCGTAATGGGTTTGACTTTATATTTTATACCATAATTTTATTCTTGATTATATGTGTAAAAGTATTAGTACTTTTACAATTATTATTATATACAACTATAACTAATAAACATAATATTTTTTAATAAATGACAATGGTATCATAGTGATAAAATCATCATAACTGATTAAAACTATTTTTGCTGAGTTACCCAATATTTATATATCGTATTATTTTTATACGATTATTTTAATATTACAATAAATTAACACCATTTTTATTATTTAAATGAAAATTTAATAAATTATAAAGTAAATGAATAAACATAACATTAAAATAAATGTAGGCGTGTATAATATGTGAATAATGTCACAAAATAATAATCAATTTAATAACATGAACCTCAATGAGGTGGTTAATAACAATCAACATGGATTACTTACTAATGTTCCACAACATGGTCAACATGACCAACAAATAGCACCACCAAAACCAGCGTAAGCTTACTTAATATTAAATATTTTATAAAATATAGTCAGTTAACTATTTTGTAATACACTGACTATTAAATATGTATAATCTAAAATAGACGTATGGATAAAAACAAAACAAATATAACCCTAACCCAAAATCATCATGTCAATGTGAACATGGTAAGTGGTGGTGCTGAAGCTAGCTCACGCAAACCTCCAAAAGGTAATACTAACGCAATTATGAATTTAATAATGTATTACTTTATTAATATTCCATGGTAATTATCAACTGAATTTTAAAAGTGAAGGAACGTACTATTAGACCGGTAGCACAACCAAGGCAATTTAAACCACAACCTGTCAAAGAACATGTATATGAAAAGTTGCGTCCACCGAATTTGAAGCCAAAACCATTAATTGAAAAGAGTAGGGTTGTGATTGACCAAGATGAGTTTGATGGTGCCACGCAAATATCAGGGGTAATTCATATGTATTTGTATTTTATTATAACAATCAATTAATGATTTTACTTGTAAGTATAATATATTTATAAAAATTATTTAATTATTATTATTAGATTTTTTTAGAAATAATTTTATGTTTGAAGATTAGAAATAAGAATATTTATAAAAATTAGAATTATTATAGCATTAATACTTGATAATTTAATAAATACTGAACCTAATTTCTATTATAGCAGACAAATAAAAATAAGTTTTAATTGTTTATTGAAAAATTTATAAATATAATTAAAATTTTTACATTAATTATAGAAAAAAGAGATCACAATATTACTGTTGGGAGAGACAGGTGTGGGAAAGTCCACATTCATTAACGCATTGGTAAACTATTTGTCGTTTGAAAGTCTGGATGCGGCCAATGGTCAGCCCATATGTTTAATTCCGGTTAGTTTTACCCTCACTGACCCAAAGACACGGATACCTGTGAGAGTAGTATTGGGTGACCAGGATATCAATGAAAACACTGATGATCCGACTAAATCTGCCACACAATACCCCAAATGCTATAAGTTTCAAGATGATAATATTGTGCTTAATATAATCGATACGCCGGGAATTGGGGACACAGAGGGTATGGATCAGGACAATGAAAATATGCAAAATATATTAAACTTCATAAGTAATTATAAGGAAATAAATGCTTTTTGCGTACTTTTAAAACCAAATGAAGCGAGACTTGATATACTTTTCAAGTATTGTTTGTTTCAATTGTTCACAATATAATCGATACGCCGGGTATTGCGGACACGGCTGGCGTGGATAGAGATAATACAAATATGCAAAACATTTTGGATTTTATAAGTAATTATAAGGAAATCAATGCATTTTGTTTCCTTTTAAAGCCGAATAATACGAGAGCTAACGTAGTCTTCAAGTATTGTATATTAGAATTGTTCACTCATTTGAATAAAAGCACCGCAAATAATATAATATTTCTATACACTAACGCCCGGAGCACTCACTACTTGCCCGGCGATTCCAGTCCAGCCTTAATGAGTGTTTTAAACAAAGTAAAGAATAGACCGCCAAAAGTGGACATCATTTATAACAAGGAGACGACCTATTGTTTTGATAACGAGTCCTTCCGATATCTCGTGGCTTTGGTTCCGCCAAATAATATACAGTTTGACACCAAATATAAGCCAAGTTATGTGGAAAGTTGGAAGAGGTTTGTGAATCCTATTACAAATTAAGTATGGTAAAATATTTTATATTATTTATTTTTATTATTGCAATAACATGTGACAAATTTGTGAAGTATGTACCTAATAAACCACACATTACAACTATAGTTATTAATTATAAGTTATAACCTTAATTAATTTATAACTACTAATACTGTTTTATATAATTTATTTATAATAAGTTTATAATTATTTGCAATAGATCTGTAGAGGAATGTCAGCGACTATTCAGTTACATAACACAACTCACACCACACAAAGTGATGGACACCCTATCCCTCAATAACGCCAAACAAATCATACAATTATTAACTAAACCTATGGCTGACATCACGAAGAATATCGCGGATAATATTAATGAATGCGAGAGATATATGGCTGAAGTCCATGAATACAATGAATCCATTGAAAGCCTACAGCAAAAACTATACATACCATCGGTTGAGATAAAAACCATACCATTAGATCGACCCAAGACTGTATGCGTTGAGGGCAAGTGCTGTACGCGTCAAACACTAAATGGCCTTGTCCATACAAAATACAACGAATGCCATTCACCATGCTACCTTAATTATAGCAGCAACACTATTGTGGGCACTAAAGGTTTAATACAATGCAAAGCATTCAATGCGAACAGTAATAGCGACCTTCGCCCTGGTGAGCCAACAAAATTGTCCAGGGCAACTTTTTCTAACAAGCACTGCCTCGAGTGCGGCCACAGTTACAAAAAGCACTTGCATTTGTGGTACGAAACGGTGGCCAAACTGAACGAAGTGATCGATCAAACGGTAGACTCGGGGCTCAGAGCTAACCAATCGGCCGCTGAGGCCAAAGAGCAACAGATCCTACTTCTGGACCAACGGATCGCCGAATTGAGCGCCGAAAGCAATACAATTGTTTACTCTATGGCAGAGTTTATGTGTTTTTTGGCCGCCAATGCGTTGACGCCATTGAACGACGCCTTTGGAAACTATGTTAAGCACATGATTGCCAACGAGTCGTTTGAAACGCCCGGCGCTGACAGCCCGGCCACTGCGGACCGACTCAAACATGTGTTAGAGAAATATAATACCGATAAAGAGTTGGTTAAGTTAGCCGTTAAAACCACTCGCGGGTCAAAGGGTTCGGTGATTACCGTAGAGGAAATAGACGAGTGCGTTCGTAAACTGTGCAAGCTCAAACATAAGGGTAAAGAAATTAGCAACATGATAGATGAGCTGTGCCGGGCAAAAGTGGAAAATGCAATTCACAACCATGTAGTCTACAACGCGTCCACAAATACTGGCTTTAGTATGAACAAATTTTTTTTAAAATAAGTCACTTGGACTATTTTATAATTAAAATACTTTTAAAATGTTTTTCATTAATAAAATATCTTTATTTATTATATTTTATTATAATATTACATAATATAGATTAAACATGTTAATAATTTAGAGTTATATATATTGTATATTGCGAAATCAGAGATAAACATTCAAAAGGATTAAACTTTATTTATAACTTTAACGGTAATTTATCTTAAATACCCTAATCATAAATTTTCTTATTAAAATGTTGTATGCTTATCATGTACATATCTAAATAAAAATATTTTCAATTGAAATATTAATACTTACTTCGTTAATATAAAATATTTTAAATAAATAATTTTAGTGATTATTAAAAAATTGTGTAATTTTTTAAAAATATCATTCTGTTTATGCAATGAAAATTTTTAAACACAACTATTTGTCTACCATTTAGCGATTATTTTTATCTTAATAATTTAAATACTTTAATATTGTATATCCATAATATTGAGTAAGTTTCATTATCTATAAAATAATTCGGTGTGTATATTTAGTTATACGTAGTAATTACTAAATTATAATTAATATTACTACTACTATTATTATTACTATAGTAATATGTTTCAAAATAAAATATTAGTATTAGATAATTATTATACAGTAAAATAATTATTGTTAGTTGAATTTACAGTAAAAAGCAATTTATTTAACTAACATTAAATTTATTTACCAGAACAATCAAAGCGATCAATGGCTGAGTATAATCCACCACCAGTAAAGCCAAGGTGTGTTACATTTAAGTTTACCTCTTAATCTACAATACTTTGTGAAAGTCTTTTGTTCAAAACAATTCTTACATTAAATAACTAGTTAAACATATAAAATTGAGTGCAATTATTGTTAAAAATTACAATTAAAAATATATATTTCATAAAAAGTTATAATTAATGTAATAATAGGCGTCAAAAAAGTGATGACTCAAATGCTGGGGTCGAGTCCGATAATAGTAGAAGGTTTAGTGGAAATGTGCATTCCATGAGACAAAAGTTTGATCAATCCCCTGACCTGGGCATTTCACGATTGTCATTTGACAAATCACCATCACCGCAAAAATTATGGACTAGGCCGTTTGATAAATCTTCAGATATGGACAAATCGCCACCAAAACAAGTAATTTTTCAAACAAAAATTATACAATGATTTTAAATGTTAATTCTGGTTGTATTATAACAAATGCAGAAAAAAGAGATTACAGTACTATTGTTGGGACAGTCAGGTGTGGGAAAGTCCACATTTATTAACGCAATCGTAAACTATTTGTCCTTTGAGACAATGGATGCGGCGAACGGTCAGCCCATATGCTTAATGCCCGTCAGCTTTACAATAGCGGACCCCATGACTAGAATGCCGCTGACAGTATCGCTGGGTGACCAGGATCACGCACAGGAAAAGATTAAGGACACTACCACATCTGTCACACAATACCCCATGTGTTATAAGTTTGAAGATGATAATATTGTGCTCAATATAATCGATACGCCGGGAATTGCGGACACGGATGGTGTGGATAAAGATAATGAAAATATGAAAAATATTTTAGATTTTATTAGCAATTATCGAGAAATTAATGCTTTTTGTGTTCTACTAAAGTCTAACGACACCAGAGTTAGCGTTATGTTCAAGTATTGCATATTTGAATTGTTCACTCATTTGAATAAAAGCGCCGCAAATAATATACTATTTCTGTTCACAAACTGCCGGAGCACTCATTACATGCCCGGAGAATCCGGTCCCCTATTAATTAGTATTTTGGAGCAAATCAAGAAAAGTCCCCCAAATGTTGAAATACCTTATAATTTGAATACAACGTATTGTTTCGATTCCGAGTCGTTTCGATATCTCGTGGCTACGAGTGATCCTAATAATATACAGTTTGACCCAAAACATAAAGCTAGTTATGTTGAGAGTTGGGAAATGTATGTCAATTTTTTAATAATTTTTAATTTTAAACATGTTATATATTTTGATATAGATCTGTGAAGGAATGTCAGCGCTTATTTGAGTACATAATACAACTCACACCACACAAAGTGATGGACACCTTATCACTCAATAACGCCAAACAAATCATACATTTATTGACCCAACCGTTGGCCGATATCGCAAAGAATATTGCGGATAACGTTAAGCAATGCGAAGAACATAGCGTTGAGATCAATGAGTTTACGGGAACTATTGAAGAGTTAAACAATAAGCTATATATACCATCGGTTGACATAATAACCGTACCATTGGATCGACCAAAGACTGTATGCAGTGATGGCGAGTGTTGCGAAGCGAAAATAATTAACGGGGTAACCGACATTACCTACACGCGCGAATGCCACTCACCATGCTACCTTGTCTTAAACACTGGCGATATTATGGGAAACACGGCTTTATTGCGATGCAAGGCGTTTAACAAGGAAAGTAGAAGCGATCGTAACCGGGGTGAGTTGAAATCATGGTGGTTGGCCAGGGTGCTATCCAAGCCAAGTGAGAAACGCAAGGAAAAAGGTGCACAGTCAAATGAGTGTCACGTATGCGGCCACAGTTACGAGAAGCACATGCAATTGTTATACGAAACGCAACAAAGAGTGACCAAGGTCACCGACCAGGCTGTGAACACGCAGATCAAGTCCGTACAAATGGCCGCCGATCTTAAGGAGCGTCAGTTACGAAGTCTCGACAAACGAGTCGCCGAATTGAACGCCGAAAACAAGATTATCGCTCAATCGGTGCCAAAGTTTGCTTGTTTTCTGGCCAACAATGCGTTGACGCCTATAAACGACGCGTTCGAGGACTACGTCCGGCACCTCATAGCCAACGAGCGGAGAGGTTTGGCGACGTCCGGCGCCGACAGTCGGGTCACAACCGAACGACTCGAACAAATGCTCGATCAATACAAGGATGAGAAAGAGTTGATTAAGTCGAAAATGAATGAGCCCGATGCCGGTTCACCTGGCTCCATTACGTTGGCCGAAATAAACGCGTGTGTCGAGCGACTGCGCATGCTCAAACATAAGGGTGGTGAAATTAGTAGAATGCTCGACGAACAGAGTCGGGCAAAAGTGAGTCGACACGTACGTCAGAATCACGTAGATTGTAGAGCATTGCCCAATAATAAATTCAGCATTGCCAAATTGTTCTCCAAAAAATGATATTAATTAACAAGTTTAAATAAACAGTATTAAATTAAATTGTTAAAATGTTCGGAAATTTTGCCTTACATGTTGATGAAAGTTTATATTAATTAAAAATTTAATAAATATAAAAGTATGAAAACAAACAAAAAATTAAAATTCTTATTTATATTCTTATGGGATGCCTATTAGATATGCAACTTATTTTCCCTGTTAGAGGGATTCCCCGGGGATTCCCTGTTCCCTGTACAGGGAAAATACAGGGCAGGGAAATGAGAATCAATGAACAGGGCAGGGACAGGGAATCCCTGTAA